TCTCTGCCCCGCTCTGCCCCTCTCTGCCCCGCTCTGCCCCTCTCTGCCCCGCTCTGCCCCTCTCTGCCCCGCTCTGCCCCTCTCTGCCCCGCTCTGCCCCTCTCTGCCCCGCTCTGCCCCTCTCTGCCCCGCTCTGCCCCTCTCTGCCCCGCTCTGCCCCTCTCTGCCCCGCTCTGCCCCTCTCTGCCCCGCTCTGCCCCTCTCTGCCCCGCTCTGCCCCTCTCTGCCCCGCTCTGCCCCTCTCTGCCCCGCTCTGCCCCTCTCTGCCCCGCTCTGCCCCTCTCTGCCCCGCTCTGCCCCTCTCTGCCCCGCTCTGCCCCTCTCTGCCCCGCTCTGCCCCTCTCTGCCCCGCTCTGCCCCTCTCTGCCCCGCTCTGCCCCTCTCTGCCCCGCTCTGCCCCTCTCTGCCCCGCTCTGCCCCTCTCTGCCCCGCTCTGCCCCTCTCTGCCCCGCTCTGCCCCTCTCTGCCCCGCTCTGCCCCTCTCTGCCCCGCTCTGCCCCTCTCTGCCCCGCTCTGCCCCTCTCTGCCCCGCTCTGCCCCTCTCTGCCCCGCTCTGCCCCTCTCTGCCCCGCTCTGCCCCTCTCTGCCCCGCTCTGCCCCTCTCTGCCCCGCTCTGCCCCTCTCTGCCCCGCTCTGCCCCTCTCTGCCCCGCTCTGCCCCTCTCTGCCCCGCTCTGCCCCTCTCTGCCCCGCTCTGCCCCTCTCTGCCCCGCTCTGCCCCTCTCTGCCCCGCTCTGCCCCTCTCTGCCCCGCTCTGCCCCTCTCTGCCCCGCTCTGCCCCTCTCTGCCCCGCTCTGCCCCTCTCTGCCCCGCTCTGCCCCTCTCTGCCCCGCTCTGCCCCTCTCTGCCCCGCTCTGCCCCTCTCTGCCCCGCTCTGCCCCTCTCTGCCCCGCTCTGCCCCTCTCTGCCCCGCTCTGCCCCTCTCTGCCCCGCTCTGCCCCTCTCTGCCCCGCTCTGCCCCTCTCTGCCCCGCTCTGCCCCTCTCTGCCCCGCTCTGCCCCTCTCTGCCCCGCTCTGCCCCTCTCTGCCCCGCTCTGCCCCTCTCTGCCCCGCTCTGCCCCTCTCTGCCCCGCTCTGCCCCTCTCTGCCCCGCTCTGCCCCTCTCTGCCCCGCTCTGCCCCTCTCTGCCCCGCTCTGCCCCTCTCTGCCCCGCTCTGCCCCTCTCTGCCCCGCTCTGCCCCTCTCTGCCCCGCTCTGCCCCTCTCTGCCCCGCTCTGCCCCTCTCTGCCCCGCTCTGCCCCTCTCTGCCCCGCTCTGCCCCTCTCTGCCCCGCTCTGCCCCTCTCTGCCCCGCTCTGCCCCTCTCTGCCCCGCTCTGCCCCTCTCTGCCCCGCTCTGCCCCTCTCTGCCCCGCTCTGCCCCTCTCTGCCCCGCTCTGCCCCTCTCTGCCCCGCTCTGCCCCTCTCTGCCCCGCTCTGCCCCTCTCTGCCTCTCTCTCTCTGCCTCTCTCTCTCTGCCTCCCTCTCTGCCTCTCACCCTCTCTCTGCCTCTCTCTCTGCCTCTCTGCCTCTCCCTCTCTCCCTCTGTCTGGCTGTCTG